ATGACTGCATTTGGGGGTTTCTTGGCAGAGATACTGGAGTGGTTCACCATTTCCTTCTCCAGCTCATTTTATAGATGAGGAAACAGGCAAATAGGGTCAAGTGACTTGCCCAGGGTCACAAAGCTAGTAAGTGTCTGAGGCTGGATTTGAACTCAGGAAGATGAGTTCCTGACTCCAGGCCCCAGAGAGCTTCATCCACTGGGCCATCTCACTGCCCATCTGATAAGGGGAATTATTTGGATAATATCCAGACCTACTGATCCTTATCCCAGTATTCTTACTTAGTAGGATGTAAGATTCTTGGGGTAGGAATTGCTTCATTCTTCAAGATAGTATCACCAGGCACAGTACCTGGCCCAGAGAAGGCACTTAATAATTGCTTTTTGATTGGCTGATCGATTAAGATAATGGTGCCCAGTCTTTTGACTCCTATAGAGATTTTAAAATCACGTCAACAAATGTGGTGGGCTAGGGCACCATTTTCCATGTGAGAGGTGAGCTGAGCAGACGCAGAAAGGGACCAGGGATGGGGAGCTTTCCACAAGAGATTTTAGGAGTATCGGAAGCTCTCACACTGGGCAGGCAGGAGAAAACACTCCCATCGGATAGTCCAGAGAATCAGAAAGAGACCTCTTTGGATACCTTGGGGCTCCTGAGCAGCTGCTTGGGTGTGGACTGCCTCTTTGGACTTACACCTGCCTGCCTGTGTGTGCAAGCTGATCCAGGAACCAACTTCGTGTTGTTTCTTACATAGCTTACATGAGACCTCTCTCTAATTCCTTAATTGAAAAAGGAGAAGGACTCCAGGTAGCAGTCCTAAAGTAAATGATACGGGTGGGAGTGAGCCACAGCCCCCCGAAATAAAAGGAATAAAACCTGCTCTGAATGTGATATTCTGCACATCAAAAAGTAATGCTAAGTCAAGGAAAGTTACCCCACATCCTTTTCTGCCTGCTTTGCCATGGGCGATCCAGCCAGGAGGAAGGAGCTGGCAGGAAACCTTTAGCAGAAAGTCGAGATTGGAGGAATCTGGGCAGACATGATGCAGACAGGGCACAGTCACAAAACACACCACTGGGCAATGAAAAAAAATCCTAAGATCCTCTAGGCAGAGAATGAAAGTCCCCATTTCTGTAAAGCGGCAGATTTACCATAGTGTCTCCAGATCCCAATGGGTAGCACAGTGCCTGGCACCTAGCAGGTGCTTAACAAATGTTTATTGACTGACTTGCTCTGATTTCCTACATCTCACTCAGTTTTGAGAGTTGTAAATGATTTGACAGCTAAAGAGTTTGTGTGGGGGAGGGGGGGCGAAGTGTACTTCTAGCAAAGAGGGAAAAAATTAGGAATGGGAGATCTCAGGAGGTTGAATAATTTTAGGGGTGACAGAATTTTATTTCCAAAACTCATAATATTAATCTTGCAACAGACATGCGTATTCATTTTAATTCAACAACCATTTATTCAGAGCCTTCTGTTTGTTAGGCACTGGAGCTGCGAATCCCCAAATTAAGCACTTTCTGCCCTCAGTTATGTTGAGGCTTATATTCTACTGGAGAGGATACAGCATATAATAATGCTGATGTTCAGTCATCTTCAAGCCTGTCCAGCTCTCCATGACCCTATCAGGGGTTTTCTTGGCAAGGATACTGGAAGTGGTTTGCCATTTCCTTCTCCAGCTCATTTTATAGATGAGGAAACTGAGGCAAAGAGTTAAATGACTTGCCCAGGTCACACAGCTAGTAAGTGTCTGAGGCTGGATTTGAACTCATGAAGATGAGTCTTCCTTGTTCCAAACCCAGAGCTCTATCCTATGTACCACCCATTGTCCCCCCAATAATAAAAGCGAACATAATAATAACTAGCATTTGTTTACTGCTTTGAGGTTTGCACAGCAGTGGAAGGTAGGTTCTATTATGAATCTCTTTGACAGATCAGGAAACTGAGGCAAACAGAGGTTAAATGACTTGCCCAGGGTCTCATAGCTGGTCAGTTTCTGAGGTAGGGTTCTAACTCAGATCTCCCTGATTCCATGTCTAGCACTCAGTCCATTGCACCACCTAGCTGTCTCTGCCTAATCATACCTGAAATAGAATCCTGTATAAAATATATGCAGCGGGGGCAGTGATGTGGCGCAGTGGATTGACTACTGGCCTGGAGTCAGGAGGACCTGAGTTCAAATCCAGCTTCAGACACTTATTATCTATGTGAATCTGGGCAAATCTCTTTACCCCAATTGCCTCCCAAATAAAATAAAATGAAATAAAATAAAATATATTCGGCAAACTTGAAGACCTCCAGTGAGACGGCCCATTCCCCTTTCAGACAATCCTCATTATGAGGGAATGTTTCCTGGCTGCAGCCTCAATTTTCCTGTTGATAACATCTACCTATTACTCCTGCTCCTGTTCTCTGGGGGTCCCTCCACTGTGTGACTGCCCTTCAAATATCGCCCCCAGCCTTCTCTGCTCTGAGCTAACTCCCTCCCAGCTCGTTCCACCCAGCTCCACATAGGGTGGTTCCAAAAGTCCAGGGCTGATTCAAAGCTGGATTTTTTCCATAGATTGCTAGAGTTGACCCAGACCTTAGAGATGGTCTCATCCAACCCCCTCATCTTACAGATGGAGAAACCAGGGCTGAGAGCAGTGACCTGAGCCTCTGGAGGTCCCAAGCTGGTTCCTGGCAGAGCTGGAATTCAGACTCACATCTCAGCTCTATGCCTGGTGCTTTAACCACTGTATCACACTGCAGGGTATGGAAGACACAAGAGATAATGCAATTTTCTGAACGTTTAAAGTCCTTGTACTTAGTGTTGTTTTCAAGCTAGAGATGGCATGGGTTAGCCACTGGGCCGTGGTATAGGACATTGCAGTGCACCAATTGTCAAAAAGCCCATTTTGTTTTGAGTTGAAGGAATGTCATTTCTTATTGGTCATTGTCATAGATCTCTCCCTTTCTTTCCCAAAGCCAGTAATCTTTAGGGCCTCTGGATGAACAGGTGTCACTAGAAATGGAAGAGCCCTCATTTTACAAATGAGATCACTGAGTCCTATAGAGATTAAGGGATTTGCCCAATGTCCTCAAGTCAGTGGCAGGCCCTGGATTTGAATCCAGGTTCTCTGACTTTAGATCTAGGTCTTTTTCTGCTGTGCCACATTCACCCTCTTGCATCCAGGCAGGGCTGCACCCGTCTCATGTAAATGCACATGCGTATGAGGCTCTATGCACATGTTAACTTTATTCCAGCATGTGCCATCCCAATATGATTTTCCATCTTGTGATCCCCTGGGAGGCCTTGGCAGGATCATAGCTCATCTGGCAGGGCTTAGAACAGATGTTCGTTGGGGCAGTGATGAGGATGGGGTGGGGCTCTCTCAGACTCCCTAAACTGTCACGACTCTATGTCTGTTGCAAGGAGAATCTTCTTACCGAAGAATTCTAAGCAAGGAGCCCTAAGGGCTATTTTTTTTTATAAGTTTGAAAGAAGGGCCTCCCGGACTGGTCCAGTCATGCCTGTGTGTTACATGGGGCCTTGAGTCACCGTGGGCTGTGTGCTGTGCATACTTCATTACCTAGAAATAGAATAACTGGAAAATGAAAGAATTGGCTTAAACTTGGGATTCAGTCTTCACAGCTCGAGTGAGGCCTGCAGACTTGGATTCTGCTTTGGCTTAAGTATTTCTCTGTCTTGCAATGTGAGAGGGGCCGTAGTGTCTGTAATTAGGACTTTGTTTAATTGCCCTTTCTGACCAAAGCTTGCAGCATCTGGAATGTCCTGGATGCCCCACTCCTCGCTATCTCCCATATTCCAACAGCTACTTTTAATTTCTGTTTAAACATTTAATAAGCCGAATGGAAATCACATCCACCAAAATGCCACGTACACATCTTCAGCCTTTTCAGTGAAGTTTCCAAACACTGTAACCGTGTACTTTTTTCATTCTGGATGGAGGGTTTGACACCCAAATCCAAAATTTGGGCAGTGCTACTCGTCTACGTCAAAGCTTTGTGAAGGGAACATGGAAACCCTGTACCCTGACCTTTCTTGACATGAGGGCTCATCAAAGTAGGGTTTCGTTAGGGGCAGCTAGGTGGCACGGTGGATAGAGCACCAGCCCTGAAATCAGGAGGACCTGAGTTCAAATTCGGCCTCAGACCAAACACTTGACACTAGCTGTGTGACCCTGGGCAAGTCACTTAACCCCAATTGCCTAAAAGTAAAACAAACAAAAAAAAAGTAGGGTTTCGTTAAGGCATGGGGTTTTTCTTGAAGTTAGCTTTGGGATCATCATTTTAGAGCTGGAAAGGACCTCATTTTATGGATGAGGAAATCGAAGCTCAGAGAAGATCACCTGGCCTAAAGTCATAGAGGTAGTGCCCAGCACATCGTAGCTATTTAATAAATGTTTACTGATTGACTCACTTGCGCAGCTGGAATTAAAACCCAGATCCTCTGACTCCCAGTTCAGTGTCCTTTCCAAAGTCAATTCCATTATTGGGCGAATAAGATCTTCCTTTGTTATCGTTCGGTCATTTCAATCATGTCTCACTCTTTGTGACCCCATTTGGGATTTTCTTGGCAGAGACACTGGAGCAGTTCGCCATTTCGTTCTCCAGCTCATTTTACAGAGGTAAACAGGGTAAAGTGACTTGTCCAGGGTCACATGGCTAGTAAGTGTCTAAGGCCAGATTTGAACTCTCAAAAGATGAGTTTTCCTGACTCCAAGCCCGGGACTCTGTGCATTGTGATGCCACCTAGCTGCCCCTCCTCTGCCTCCATTTGGGTCTGTGATCAGATACTTCAATCTTCCACTTATTACTATCCCAGAATCCCTTGGCCTCCTAGAAACCCATTTTCCATGGCCAGCCAAAAAAAAAAAACCAAACCCAAAACAGCAGCCCCAAAACACTGACCCAACCTGTCCTTTTGAAGGCCTTGTCTACAGGTTTTGGATGCAACAGAGTGACATGTGCCTGACTTTTCTTCACTTTCATTTCAGATCAAGTTTTTCCTCCCACTTGCCACATTGAGAAGAATTTTCTGTCACTCAATTATCTCGCGGGGTATCTTCAGCCAAAGATGGCCGAGGGATGTATAATGTCCAGCCTGCCTCACGGCGAGGAAGTACACATCATAGAATTAATCACACCCAACTCAAATCCCTACAGGTAAGCAACTGATTTCTTCCTTTTTCTTTTTCTTAATTTTCAGTTTGATGGGCGTCTTTTGTGTTTCCATTTTTGCCTGGTCTGCTCATTCTCATCACTGGAAATCCTCTGGGATTCCAAGCTCCTTTTAAGGGTACCAACTTTGTGGGTACCGGATTGGGTACCATCTTTATCCACCCTCCTATCCCCAAGTTTCTCTTTCACCCTAAATTATGTTGTATTGACTTCTTAGTGTACATGTTGTGTCCACCTAGGATAGCTTAGATGGTTCTAAACCTGGTATCCATAAACTTGGGTTATTTTTTAATTTTGTAATTCTCTGTGTTTTATTTTATGCGTTTAAAAACATGATTTGGAAAAGGGTTTTGTAGGTTTCGCCAGACTCCTTAGGGGAGTTCTGTGACGCAAAAACATAAAGAGCCTCTGCTGAAGGAGAGTATAAAATCCTTGGGGGCAGAAGCTATTTCTTTTTTGTCTTCATATCCCCAAATCATGGGGGGATTTCTTGTGTGTAGTAGGTGCTTGATAAATGCTCATTAAATAATTTGATATTACACCAGACCCATCTCAGATGCCCCTCTTCATCATCACCCTGTTTTTATGTTCCTTTGGGACTATATTGTATTGGGACTATGACCTCTCTTTCAAGAAATCTTAAGGAATTTTTAAAAATAAAAGAAATATGTCCATAATGTCTTTATCTTAAATTTAATGTGGACTAGAAGCTAGGAATTTAGGATTTAGAATATTTTTATTATAAAGTGAGCTTAGCTAAAATATGAAAAAAAAAGTGTTATCTCTGTTGAGAATCCATTCTCTCTTCCATATAGTTCAATTCATGTCAGTTCCATAAGCATTTATTAATGGTCTGCTATGCGCCAGGGACTGTGCCGAGCACTGAGACTACAGAGGTAAATATGAAGCAATCCTTGCCTTCAGGGAGCTTACATTCTACTACTAGAGGGAAGAAAGGTACAAAGATAAATAGATCCAAAACATACAAAATGAAAACAGGGGTGTGTGTATGTGCGTGTGTGTGTGTGCATATGCGTACTTGCACATATTTGGATGAACACTAACTGGGGGAAATCAGGAAAGGCCTCTTGCAGAAGATGGTGTCTGAGCCGATTTTGAAGGGAGCTAAGGACTCTGAGAAGTGCAGGTGTGGAAACAGATCATCTCAGAATTTCGAAGGAGAAATCCAATAGCAGTGGCAACAAAAGACATGAGGCAAGTGCCTCTGGACGTTGAACTAAATTCAGATGTGTGGTGTGCTTTGTAAAGCTTTTCAAGATTTACAAGTGAATAACGCCAGGATGGCCATAAGGATTTTCCTCTTAAATATGTATTCTCACGTATGTGAGAAGTCCTTATTCTTTTCTTTTTTTCCACTACATTCTTAGAAGTCTGGATAGTGATCATCACTTTCCCAGCAATCACTTGGATTGAACATCTGTTTTCTTTATTTTAGTAACTGTATATGCAGACGCTTTGGAAAGCTGGTGAAGAGAAAGTTCTGTAGCATTTGCAAATGTCGTAAGCAAAAATTGCACAAGAGAAGACAACTTTCTCCATGTCTTCTCTGCTTGTTTTATTGTCTTGATGAAATCCTTGTTTGCCATAACCCCCTGCCCTATTCTGGCTTCATCATCCTTGTAAACAAGATGCCTAGTTTGGGGGGGAAAATAGTGATTCCTCTTTAAACAGTAATCTGTCATGGTTTGCTCCCATCTTTTTCAAATATAGTGACATTAAATAACCTCACTTTAAAAAAAGAGAGGAAAAATGGCTAGTTATCAACGGGCATGTACTTGTATTGTTATGTAAAATCACTTGTGTGTGTGTAAAATAACAATCTGTTTTGTACATGCTGCTTTGCCTGGGATCTGCTCCAGTGTCTTAATCAGCTGGCCAGACATTGGAAACTTGGAGGACTGGAAGGAGGTAGATGGCTGTAGATTTCTGGCTTTGGGGTCCTAACTTAGTGTTTGCCTTCATTTTCCCCGCACGCAGCTCTTTCCAGGTGGACATCGTAATTGACATTAGACCATTTCGAAAGGAACCTGCGGTGGTCAAACATCTTGTCCTGATCTTAAAATGCAAGAAGGCTGTCAATTGGGTGATCAAATCTTATGACGTCAAGGGAAGCCTTAAAGTGATTGTAAGTTGAGGGGAGTGTTTCTATCCTGAGAGGTGGGGTGGGAGAGCAGGGATATTGTTTGTCAACTGTCCAACAGTATATTCTGAGTTGAAAACTCTGAGTACTTGGAGTGTTCTGTTCCTTTTTGTTTCTGTCCCTGCTGAGTTACAGTTGAATGAGTTGGGGATGAGTAACCTAGTGTAGAGGAGATTTAGTAGGACCAAGGATGAAACTTGGTCTCAAGCAGTGGGTGGAAGTTACAAAGAGAAAATTTTAGACTTGATATCAGTAAAAACTTCTGGATAATGAATGTTTCCTGAAAGTAGAATGATATTATGGGCTCTGCTTCCATGGAGGTCTTCACCAAAGCCTGGATGGGATCACTCACTTGTAGGCCAGGTTGAATGGAGAATTCTCTCTCAGGTATGGGTTGGACTAGATGGCTTCTGAGATAGGTCCCTTCCCGCTCTTAGATTCTGTGATCCTTCCCCGAAGATGATTCAGAAATAAGGCATTTGCTTTCATCCAACAAAATAATAGACCCTCAAGCCACTCACTGGCCAGTTGGGGTTCATGATTGTTTGTGACTCATAATGGTGCCTTAGGGTCATCATTTCAGAGCTGGAGAGTAAAGAATGCTGAGGCCAAGAGAGCTTAAAATACTTGCCCAGAGTGAAGTTCTGGTATGTCTTAGGCATACCAAATTTAGGTTTCCCTTACCTCCAAATCCAGCACACTGGCTCATTATTTATTACCTCTAGATCAAATATAATGTCTTTTGTGTTGCCTAGCTTTCTCTGGGGACCTGGAAAAGTTCAGCCTTCTTATGCCTTCCTCCTTTCTGTGTCCTGTAAGAGCCATCTTCCGGGGCCTTCTTGTGGTTCTTAGCGTAGGACACCATGTCTTCCAACTCCGTGCCTTTATAATGGCTCTTCCTTATGCCTGTAAGCCCTCCTTCTTCACCACTGCCTCTTCCTTGAGGATTTAGCCCAAATCTCACCTTCTTCAGGAGGCCTTACCTCTTCCACACAACTGTTAATGCCTTCCCCCTTTCAGATTAACTGGCCATAGACAAGACCAGACTATGCTTCACATCCTCTCTAGCCATCCCCTCAGGCCATCTTGCTACCTGTCCTGACTCCCTCTACTTTCCACTTCTGCTCAGTAATCAGTCCAGTGGTGCCATTGCTTTTGGAAAGGACATTTCAGTTGACTGCCCAGTGGATCAAGTCAGCATCCCTGGGACTCTCCCTTCCCTAGTTGATCACCTATTTATGTGATCTCTTTGTATTAAAATGTAAACTTCTTGAGAAGAGAAACTCTCGCTTGCTGTTCTTTATATCCACAGTATTTATCATGGTGCTGGCACAGAAGTGAGCCTTAATAAATGCTGATTCATTCATTCATTTATCTTGCATAGTTATTTGTCTTGTCACCACTTGCTTCTTGAGTTGAGAAAAAATTCAGTAAATTGGAGATTCCCATTAGTTGAAGGGGTATGACATATATCATTAAGGAAATAAACTTCAGTTGGCTAATTAGTGGGAAGGCTAGACATGTATCATTTTATGCCAGAGATGTATCTTTGAGAAGTTGTAATTCTGAATTTTTCAAAGTCCAATACTATTTTAAACCATTGAGGGAACTCACCATTTGAAAGAAATCTGGGAGTGAATTCTTTTTGTAAAGAATCCCTTAGTAAAATAAGCAATCCCCTCTTGTCTGTTTTATAGAATCAGAATTGCTATGTGTGGCGTTTTCTTGAATGACACACATAGTTTTGAGAGACAGCATGGCATATTAGTAGAATGTTGAGCCTGGAGTCAGGAAGACCTGGGTTTGAGTCCTGCCTCAGATGCATGCTAGATGTGGGACCCCTGGATAAGTCACTTAAATTCTCTGGGCCTCAGTTTCCTCATTTGTAAAATGGGTGAGTCGGACTTGATGGCCAATAAGGGTCTTTCCAACTCTTAGTCTATGGTCCTGTGTTTGCAGCTCCCCCTATAAGAGGAGCAAGATGCTATTTCCTACTGGCTAAACCACAACCAATGGGAACACTGGACTTCTTCCTCCTCTGCCCTGGGTGAAAAAATTTCCAGTGGTAATCACTTACCAGGATATGGGGAGAAGGGCATCTTTAGCATCTGGGAGGGTCAGTGACACATAGAAGGCCTCCCCACAGAAGTAGCAGCAGCAGCCACCACCACTACCACCATGAGGACACACTTAATCCCAGAGGGCTCGTTTTTTGCTTCCTGTGGTTTCTGAACACTGGCATGATCCTAACAGGCCATTATGTGGGCAATCGGGATCTAGTCATTTGGTGTTCAGCACAAAGAAAGACCAAATGATTTTCTGAAGCCCTGTATTTGGTTTGCCTTGCCCTGCCTTGGCCTGGCTCCTTCTGATGACCTAGGGGAGTCTTTGCCTCGCAGCATGGCACACCAGTGGAATGTTTTTAATTTAAGAATAACAAAAACAGGAAAGGGCTCATGCTTTGAAAGACAAAAACATATGGTCCTTTTTAATTCCCTGCTGGAGTTCTTGTATGAATGTTCCCTCTGCCATGACTCTTAACTAGATGCTTCCCCTCCCCAAATCTTCGAGCTTGAAGGCCGGGGGCCTAATCTGTTGGCACTGGGAAGGGGAAATTTGAATGCCCCTCACTCCTTTCAGTCAGAAAGACGAGAAATGAGATTGCTTGTCCTAAAGCAGGCTCTGTTTATTCCTTTCTTTGCCTCAAAACTCTTGGCCAAGTCCAATTTTGGACAATGCAATGTAATGTTTCATGAGCTTTTTTTACTTACCCAATCGGTTCCATGCTTTTGGTTTTGCTAACTCCAGGCTTCTCGTGTAAATTATGATCGCACCCGGTGGGAGACACATGCTTGCTCAGAGTGAAGAATGGGTTGCCTAAGCCAGAATGAGGGTGTTTGTTTTCAAGAGGGCTTGGGGGTGGGGCTGGGGGAGGGGAACAAGGAAAATTTGAGGCCTAAAAGAGCAGGTTAGTTTTCAGGTGTGCGCCAAGTGGTTATTCTGGGCCACTCTTTAAGATGGTAAACTAGTTACAGGTGAGTGTTGTTCTATATTGGGTGTTCCTACACTGAGAATTCCCCACACTGATGAAATCATAGGTCTATACCATCCCCCCCACCAAAAAAATAAAAATAAAAAATAGAAAAATAAAATAAAAGAATAGCATCCTTGAACTCTGCGTCCCCATGGGTCTGTCTAATAGTAACGCCGGACATTTTAAAAATATACAGCTCTTTCAAAGGCACATCCGCATTAGTAAGAGTGGTTCCCTAAATACCATCAAAGCAAAGTGCAGTAAACTCCATCAGTCACATGGCTAGTTTTCAACCATGTCAGTGGCTGCTTATACAAGGGAAGGCTGAGTAAGACCTCAGAATTGTTGAGAAGAGTAAAGAATCATGGCATGAGTCAGGACAAATATGAAAACAGTTAGTTAGGCATTGAGGGGCTAACATGGTCTCTCCTTTTTTAGGTCCAGGCAGTGCCAAAAATCTTATTTCAGCTTTAAGCTTTGATAACTTGAAGCTACACTAAGATTTTTCAGAACTTAAAGCAGCATTGAGATTTTTCAGAACTTAAAGCTACACTAAGATTTTTCAGAATGTAAAGCTATACTAAAATTTTTGATAACTTAAAGCTACACAAAGGTTTTTGGGACAGCCTGTGTATATTGATAAGGGCAGTGATGAGCTGAAGAGCTTTTAGAGGAAGGTGACTGGGATGGTGAAGGGCCTCGAGATTATGCTGCAGGAGGACTGAATGAAGGAGCTGGGGGTGTTTAACCTGGAAAAGAGAAGGCTGGGTGGGGACAGGATTGCCATCTTTAAGTATTTAAAGGACTCTCTATGGAAGAGAATCAGATTTTTTAAGGGCAGAGGGCAGAACTAGGGGCGTTGCGGTGAGTTACAGAGTCAAATTTAGGCTTGATGTCTGGAAAACCTTCCTAAGAATGAGAGTTATCCCAAAGCAGAATGGGGGTGTGTTCTTCATCGCTGGAGGTCTTCAAGCCGAGACTCGATGATCACTTGGGGAGAATTCTAATTCAGTTATAATTGGTACTCGATGGCTTCTGAAGGCCATCTTCTGATGTAAGATTCCGTGATAGTCAACTAGAAAGGGTATTTTATTTGAAAAACCAATAAACAGCATTTATTAAGCACCTACCATGTGTGGAGCACTGTGCTAAGCTAGGATAGGAGTATATATTGCTGTGTTTTTAACAAGGAATGCCTACATAGTATAAAAGGAGGATGGAAATGAGCATTTTAGGTGGTACCTATTCCATGATACCATTGTTATTTTATCAGTCAATCAATCAACTCGAATTTATTAAGTGCTTACTATGTGCAGAAGTTTTCCTAGGCACTAGTGTTATAAAGAAAGGTGGAAATAGCCTCTGCTCACAATCCAATGATGGGGACACCCCCCAAATTCTAATATCAGCCTTGTGATTAATAAAGGCCCATGCGGGGCATGTGCCCTCCATTTTCTAATCTCCTTGGCTTGTATGTCTCAGGAGATCATCTCTTCATCATATAAATACCTGCATACATATATATGATCATCATATCTGTATCTGAATGTGTGTGTGTGTGTATATATGATCATTTTCTCTTCCATCCGTTTCAAGATGGGGCCAAAGAGCTTAGGAGTTAGGGAAAGAAGGAAACAATGGGTCCAGCCACTAGAGCCACTTTGGGATTGATGGCTGGCAAGGCCAAGAGCAAGGGAGAAGTCTTTCATCCAGTCAGTCTGTCTCAGACTCCCCATTTCTTAAACCTGGCTACTTTGGAAAAAGTGCAAATGGATTTTTAGCCTTGTAAGTCCCAGGGCAGATCAGCAGGATGGATGCTGACAGCCCCTAGATTTGATGTGGAAAGGTGTAAACAGATCATACCATATTGGTTAAAAAAGGGACGGGAGGCTGTTAGGATGATACTTTCCAGCTGTCAAGCCATAAAAGAATAGGACATGTGAGGCCAGTCGACATTATTTGGAGTCACAGTCTCAGCCAGGCTGCTTGGAAATCTATGGAAGAACCCGCCTAAATCCAAAGGCCTAACATCGGGACCTCCCTTTACCTCCATCTAACTTTCTCTCTTCCCTTTTCCTGACAAGCTGCCCCTTCCCTTAAATGGTTGGGATTTCTCAAAGGTTTTCATCCTATAAATCAGGTTTTCTTAATCTGGGGTCCATTGACCCCCAAGGGATCCATGAATAGATTGATTACAAAGAGTCCATGAGCATACGTGGGAAAACAATTCCATCTTTATTTTTACATGCCTCTAACAGAAATTAAATACTCTTTTTGATCATGAATGTAGACAACAAATGATGTTTCTGAGAAGGGATCTGTGGGCTTCATCAGGCCACCAGAGGTGTCCAGAGCACAGGAAAAGTTTTGAGAACCCTCAGCTATCAACCTTATAGTCTCAAATGAGGACGTGAGCTAAGCCTGGCCCTGGGGACCCTTTGTCTTTGTGCGGCTCTTGTAAGCCAGCTCTGTCCTGCACTAAACATGTTTGGGGATGGGAAAATAAAAGGGGGAAGGTCATTTAAGCTTTGGATTGCAATTCTTGAGACCCTTGACCTACATCCTTTTGGCAGGGCTGGGCCCTGTGAACCGCTGGTTTTGCAGTGGGAAAAGATTAAGATTTCGTCATGTTAGGGGCTGACAAATGGGGAATTCAGCAAGAATGCCCCATGCATGCAAGAGAAGGAAGACTGGGCATGAGAAGTAAAGCGATTTTCTTAGGCAGCGTGACAGTGATCTGATCTGCATGATGGATGGCTCAGGCTGCCTTCCAGCCACAGTTGTTGAAAGTGGGATGCATGATCCTTCATGCCCAGTTGTTAGCATTGAGCAGTCCTCCCCACTCCCCAGTGGCTTTGCTGTCCCTGCAAGGGAAGAGCTGAAAGTCTTGTATATCTGAGAACCTGGGATTTTCCCTTTTCATCCTTACTCACCTCTTTTTTTTTTCTTAGACGATTTCTTATTCAGTGTCCCCTGTAGCTAAACAGGGAGCTCCCATCAGAGGCTTCCTTGTGTTGTAAGACTGCATTTTGCAGGCGAGCCTGAAATTATTTAGTGCATTAGAACATGAGGTGATATAACTTGCATTTCAGGATCCCTTTCCAAGCATCCTGTGCGTTATAATGAAAGCTATTTTAAAAAAGGAAATTCCTAGTGACCCTTTTATTATTTTAAAAGAATTATCGTCACGAATAGGAGCAGGTCACGGAATACATTGTTGGAATTTCTGTTGGCAGGATTAATGCTGACTTAGCCCATGGTGACCTTACTGTTTAATCCCTGGACCTCAATTTCCAGACACAGACCTATGGAAAAGTTTTGTAAAACTTTTTGTTGTTCAGTTGTTTCAGTCAAGTCCAACTCTTTATGACCCCATTTGGGGTTTTCTTGGCAGAGACACTGGAGCGGTTTGCCATTTCCTTCTCCAACTCATTTTACTGATCAGGAGCAGAGGCAAAAAGGGTCAAGTGACTTGCCCAGGGTCTCCCAGCTAGTAAGCCTCTGAGGCTGGATTTGAACTTAGGTCTTCTTGACTCCAGCCCCAGTGTTCTAACCACTATGGCATCACCAGATTTAGAGATGGAAAGGACCTAAGTGTCTACTGAATTTCACCTTCTCATTTTATAGATGAGGAAAATGAGGTCCATACAGCTTGAGTGACTTGTCCACGGTCATTCAGCTAGTCAGTATCTATGGTGGGATTTGAGTCCGTTTCTTTCTGACTCCCTAGTTCACTGTCCTATCCCTGCCCCTTCTGATGAGATCGCAGCTCCATTCTAGGGTTTATATGTTATAGTCAGAAGCTCTACCTCTGTAGGCAGCGTACGTATATTTTATCAGGTCTGATTTGGGGACGAATATTCCTTTTGAAATGCGTTTATGATTTAAACAGTCACTTGCGCTTCTCAGCCTAAGGTGCTGGGTGGACACCATGCACGGTCAGGGCAATGTGGGACAGCTGCTTAGAGCATGCCTTAGTGGATAGAGAGCCAGCTTTGGGCCCAGAGAGACATGAGGCTCCTGACCTGCCTCTGTGTTCTAGGCAGCTCTTCTGAGACTTCAGGCTAGAGAAGAGGCGCCAGAATTCATGGGTGCAGGGAGGTCCCCCCCACCCTGGGAAAAATCACTGGGCAAAGTTGATGGTTATAAATATTTTGTTACATAAATACAATAAATACGTTTAATATAAATAATAAATATGTAATATACAAACATATAATTATGTAATATAAACATATTTAATTGTATGTACTATGATTTAATCATATATAATAGAATGATAAATATACTTAATTATAATCAATATAATATCAATATAAATATTCATAAATATTTTAAAATCTTCCATTTGATTTATAAAGGACTCTGTAAGCAGGCCCTTTGCTAACTTTCCTGTGTTTTTATACTTTACCCCCAAAACATGTGTCCTGTGATGACACTGGCCTCTTTTCAGTCAATGCTACATCCCCCAACCCTGGCCATCCCCTATGCTTGGAAAGCCCTCCCTCCTCATCTCTGCCTCCTGCCTTCCCTGGCTTCCTTCAAGTCTCAGCTAGTTGTACCTTCTGTAAGAAGTCTTTCTTGAATTTCCTCAATGCTAGTGCCTTCCCTCTGTTAAGTATCATCAATTTATCCAGTTCATATCTACAATTTGTATGTAGTTGTTTGCATGTTGTCTCCCTCATTAGACTGTGAGCTCCCTGAGGGCAAGGACTATCTTTTACCTTTTTCTGTATCTCCAGCTCTTGGTACAATGCCTGGCACATAGTAGGGATTTAATAAATGATGGTTTATTGATTGACTCACTGACCGAAAGGCAATGCTAGAATCTTTTCCTTCATTTTTTTTAAATCGAAAGTTTTCAAAAAGAAAAATAATTGAATTTTATTCTTTTCAAACATTGATTTTATTTACCTAAAGGAATCTTTGCTAGGTTATTTCTCTATTATCCTCAGGCCCCAAATAGCATTGGCTTTGGGAAAGAAAGTGAGAGATCCATGGTTATGACAAAATCCATAAGAAATGACATTCCTTCAACTCAAGAAAATTTGGTCAAGTGGGCCTTCGATAATGGCTACAGTCCAGTGACGTCCTATACGATGGCTCCGGTGGCTAACCGATTTCATCTTTGGCTTGAGAATAATGGTAAGCTGGGAAGACTTACATGAACTGATTCAAAGTGAAATGAGCAGGACCAGGAGAACATTGTACATAGTAGCAGCCATATTGTACAGTGAGCAAGTGTGAATGACTTGGCTATTCTAATCAATGGAATGATCCAAGATAATTACAAAGGACTTATGATGAAAGATGCTATCTATCTCCAGAGAAAGAACTGATGCAGTCTGAATGCCAAGTGAAGCATTTTTTCCACTTTATTTTTCTTGCTTTTTTTGGTAACGTGGCTAATATGGAAATATGTTTTGCATGTATAATTGATACCACATTTCTTGCTTTCGCAATAGGTGGGGGAGGGTTGGGAGAGAGATAATCTGAAACTCAAAAAAATTTTAATGAATGCAAAAAATAAATAATAATTAAAAAACCTAAAAGAATTGTAAGTATGATGAATTTTAACATACAGAGAATATCTCAATGCTGTTCTTGCCTTCAGTGTAAGTGGGAAAACAAAGGAAGACACTGAGAGATATTTGAATCCTGGTTCTGCCACTGCTAGCTATGTGACCTCAGGCAAATCACGTTCTTTCTCTCCTCCATAGTGATTTATTCAGGGGCACCCACACAACATGAGTTATATTACTGACTCTTGAGGCAGCAATCTAAGCTGCCTCTCATAAGAAATCATTAGAGAATCCACTCCAAGTGGACTGAAAAGAAACTGGGAAACTGTTTTGGGAGAGCTCAGATCAACTGATTTTATCATTTAATCAGGAAACATTTATTAAGCATTTATTTAACATTTATTGTTATCCATATTTATTAATAGTACTGTTTGGGAAGCACTGTGCTAACTGCTTGTCCCATTTAGGTCTTAAAATCATTAATGAGATCATCTTCAATGTTCAGTCTCATTTTAGAAATGAGGAAAATGAAGCCCAGAGAGGCGGAGGGGGCTTGCCTATTAGGCTACGCAGCCAGTTATCAGATGAGCCAGGATTAGAACCCAGGATCTGTGCCTCCTGGTCTATTGCTTTTCTATCATACTATGCCCTTTCTCATTTTATTCCTCAGTGAAAATAATTTCACCCAAGGCCATCTTATTAATTAGACTTCTTGCTGTACTTGATGCAACTAACTTTCAGGCATATATAACCTGACTATTGAGCCTTGACGTTGTGTTTCTGCATTCCCTTCTCACATTTCTAGAGGAGATGAGTGACGAGGAAGAGCATTCCACTCCCCCGGAGCTTCGGATACTCCTAGGAGGAAGCCCTCTGCCTTCCCCGGAGAATCCTTCCATCCCAGGAGGAAGTTTTCCTTTTCCATTCCCTCCCATCAATAGGAAAGGGAGACATGAGGAGAAGGGAGAGGATGGCTTCCCTCGGCCAAAGAAGCCTCTCCACCCCACCCTCCAGCTGTTTCCCAGCCCCAGGGAACCCCAAGAAGCACAAAGACATGTGGACATTGCCTTCTCTGTCACCTGTGATGATGAAAAGATGCTCGTGGCTATTGAAAAGGATTCTCTGCAGGTTGGTGCAGTTTCATATGGGAGAGAAGAAACCAGCAACAATAATAACAATACCTAACAGTATGGGGTAGCTGGGTGGTACAGCATATAGAGTGTTAGACTGGAGTTGGGAGGTTCTGAGTTCAAATCCTGTCTCAGACACTTGCTGTGTGACCACTGGCAAGTCCCTTGACCTCTTCAACTTCAGTTTGTCAACTGAGTCATTATGAGATTAAATGAAATAAAATGTGTAAAGCAGTATACAAATTCTAACTATCATTATTATTTCTATATGCCTTAAGGTTGACAAAGCATTTTGCTTGCATCATCTCATTTGAGCCTGAATACTAGGTTAGGTACTCATAGTATTATTAATTTCATTTGACATTTGACAATACTGAGGCCAAGAGATACAGCTAGTAATTATCAGAGGTAGGATTGGAATCCAAGTCTTCCTGACCCTGGCTTTCTTCTCATCACCACCAATAGTCATATGCTTCCTCATTCACTGTTCACTTTTTCTTAGTGAATTAGATCCTCCTTCGCTTGGCTTCCTTCCTTGCCCGGTACCCGTTTCTCCCAGTGAGGGGGGTTCTAAATCTTTGCATGTTGATATTTTTCTATTGAACTCTGACAGTCCTTGAGATTTTGATCATAGCTAGGGAGAGGGTGGCTGAGAAGGAGGGGTATGTATTGGGGGCTGGGAGAGGAAGGGGTTAAATGCAAGCTTCTGGCATCCATTCCATAGAAAGAAGGCTTAGTGAAGCTATTGCTGTATCATAATGTTATTTATTCAGTTACCAAGTTGCTTTTGGTGATGGTTCTTCTAGGCTAACGGCTACACGGGGACAGAACTGTCCCTGTCAGATCCGACCTGCAAGGCCAAGATGAATGGAAGTCACTTCATTTTGGAATCATCCCTGAAAGGCTGTGGCACGCAGCAGCGACTCTCTGCCCCTGACGGCTTGGTTTATTATAACTCGGTGAGTGCTCGGTGAGGCTGTTTCTTTCAAAGCCCTGCTTAGGTTTCTCACTGTGAAACCGGAGTTTCACAGGTAACTTTCCTGAGCCTTTGTTTCTTCAGCCACAAGTGACGTGGACAGGGTCACCCACGTAAGATGTGTCATATGGATGACTGGAACCCAGGTCCTGCTGACCCAGAGGCTTTTTCTGGCCAGAACAGCCAGGCCAGAGCTTGAAAGGAAATTTAATATACTTTGTTTCTCCTTTCTCTTCCTTCTTTCTTTTTTCTTTTCTTTTCTTTCTTTTTTTTTTTGGAGGCAGGGTACCTTTTAGTTGTATCTAAGCCTGTAGGGAAGCTTAGTCTATATTTCTTGCAAGAAAGGTGTTATATATTCTGTCATATAATATGTCATTACATTGTATTATAATTTTATACTATAGTACATTGTTATGTTATATTGTCATATTATATTAAGGAGATTTTGGTAGATGTGAGAAAATTCAAAGTAAAATGTTCAGGTTGAATACAAATTTTTCTAGTCCTTAAGAGTTTTGCAAATTTTTTTTTAATCACTAGCAATGCTGAGTCTGTGTCTAAATCAGGAGATCAATTGAATCACTGAATTTCAGGATTTGAAAGGCCATTAGCAATCTTGCTTCCTTCCCCGTTACTCTACTAGAAACTTCTCTCTCCAAGGTCCCAGTGATCTCTTTCTTATTTTCCAAACTCTTCCTCAGTCTTCAGCATCCTTGACTTTTTCTACACTATCTGACCCTGCTAAAAATTCCTCTTCTTTTATATTTTCTCTTCCCTTAACTTCTGTGATGATGCTTTCTCCTGGTTCTTCCTCAACCTGTCTGGCTGTTCTTCTTAGAACTCTGCACTCATCTTCTTCCTACCTCTGGCTCTAATAGTCTTCCCCAAGCACCTGTCCTGAGGCCTCTTCTCACCACTTTCCACACTCCCTCCATTGACCATCTCCTCCAGTTCCATGACTCTGTGGTCCCTGTGTGGCTCCAAAATGAACAGCTCTGGTCTTTTCCCTTCTTTTCCATCTTATATTTTCAATTGCTTGTTGATCATATCTCCTTGGATATCCTACTTCGTGCTTATTAATATGTCCAAAATAAAATAAAATAAATAAAGAATAGAGAGGGAACTTGTGATTTCATTGATATAAGGAATTATCAGGTGAAGAAACTAATACCTTTGATCAACGCAGATCAGCATCTTCTCGGCAATTTAGTTACTTAATGTCGTTGAGAAGTTACATTGAATTGCAAAGGGTCACATAGCTGCTATGTGTAAGGGGCAGGCCTCAGACCCAGCTCTTTCTGGCTCTAAGGCCTGCTCTCTACCCATTCTGCCATCAGTAACAGCCTAGTTACTTTGTTCATTTAGGCTTTCCTCCAGGGACCCTGACTAACATGAACAGGGGTTCTTTATTGCCCTCCCATGATATCGTCCTAATTAATTTGGTTCCTTGTTCATACCTAGTCTTATCTGTTAGCCCTCAGAGCTGCTGCAAAGTTTGTATATTAAAATATGGTCCTGATCTAAGTGTGCAAAGTGGGAAATCATATTGTTGACTCAGATGACAGTTTGAAGGAGTTCTAGGGAACCTCCCTACGTGGACATGAGGAGAATGTGTTGAGTTATGGGCTGCTCGTCGCCCAGCCAGCTGCCATGGACGCTTTCCATTCTGAGCTTGGCCTGGCCCAGTACTCACTCCTCTTAAGCACTCTTTAAAAGAGTCTGTTCTTACTCAAAATGTGAAATTCTCATCTGCACTAAGACAGAGAAGTGGTAGGTAAGAGATTAGCAAGAGAGAAGATACAGTTGGACAATTTAAAAAGGGCTGAGAAGGAGAACAGGAAGGATATGGTTTTGGCTGCCATCTTACTATAGTGGACCAGTCTCTTCCTCATCATCATTATCATTGTAGTGGCTAGTACCTGTGATATACTTTAAGGTTGGTGAGGCGGTTTCCAAATATCCCATTTGATCCTCACAAAAGCGTTGAGAGAGATATGTTATTACTATCCTTGTTTGACTTTTGAGGAAGCTGGGCCCAGGGTCACACAGCTAGTAAGGGTCTGAGACTGGATTTAAACTCACATATTCTTGATGACTCTGGGTTCACTGTTCTCTCTCCTGTGGTACCTTCCAGAATAATGTGTGATGTTTAAAAAGTCCAAGAGACAGAATTTCTGGGTAATTAATCATTTTATTAATAATGCTAGCATTTTCATAATAAAAGAAGTCAGTGACACTCTTGGATGCCAGAGACTCCTCAAGTCAGTGGGTTCTTAGTTTATATGCTGTTGGAAGACTAAGTGTTCCTGAGGGTGGCAATAATTAATGAAAGAATGAATGTTACAATGAGAAGTGGAAATGAAGGTTATATGAATGAAGGTTTCCTCCTTCAATTTCATTTTGCAGGCCGCTCCAGTTAGGGGCTGAGAGAGTAACATCATGTCACTCTTGGACAAAGAGATTATCTCTACACCCAGACCACCCCCAGCTTTGGGCATGATAGACAAAGGATCTACCTCCTCTCAAACTTGCTTGAGTGGACCACAGTGGGTAGGGAATTCACCTTAGATAAGATGGTCTAGGTGGGGCAAATTTTTGGCAGAGGTCAGCAATGTCCTTCAAAAGGCTGGGCTTTGACCAAGGAAATAGGATGGGGAAAAAGCCTGGATCTGTCCCATAATTGGTTATTAATAATCATTTCTCTCAAATGTAATAATGATAACAGCCCAAACTTACATAGCTCTTTGCCATATACAAAGGACTTTCTCCACAACAACCCTTTGAGGTAGATAGTAGAATTATTGTGACGTCCACTTTACAGATGAGTAAACTGAGGCTCAGAGTCATTCAAGTGACTTACCCAGAGTCATCCGCTAAGAAGTTCTTGAGCTGGTGTCTTCTCACATCTCCCTTTCCTATGCCCCAAAGCACAGGGCCACAAATATTCTCATAGGATTCAGAAGTAAGAAGGGACCTTGGGCTTCATGTAGTTCAACGTCCTCATTTTATAGGTGAGGAAATTGAGACCCAGAAAGGTGACATGATTGGCCCATAGTGAATAAATAGAGCAGACAAGATTTGAGCCCAGGTCCTTGGGTCCTTCAACTCCAGTGCCACACTAAATATCCTGCTGCCCTTTAAAAAAACCAAACGTATAAAACTATGGGAGAATGTGTATAAAGAAGGAAGACTCCTTATGTTTGCATATGGTGACATGTATGATGAATTGCTCTTTGTATGTATCTGTCCATTAACGGACCATTTTGGGCTAAGTTTCTTGGTTGGTCGCTAGAGAGACTGTCCTTGTAAATCAAGTTCAAGGTAGGGTCTTGGGCAAGCTTATTTCAATAGGGTAAGGCCTGGGCTGCTCTGCCATGATCTCCTTGACTTGCACTTTTGAATTTTTATTTAAAAGAAAATTATTAAAGAAACTTAATGGTGTTCTACCACCAGCTAACCTTCCCTTAAAATGTCTCCTCTTAAAGACTTTGGTTTTCAATTTCATTTTGTAATTTAGATAAATTTCCCTCAAGCATTAACCTATTACTACAATCAGAATTGTTCATATGGGGAACTCATGGTGCAGAAATAATGGTAGTTGGGGCCTTCTGCTGTGTTTTTTACTCATGCCTCATGCTTTCTTTCTGTATAGATTAAAATGCAGGTCTCGGTCCCCGGGGACAGCAGTGGCTGGCCCACTGACTACGAGGACCTAGAGTCAGGCAATAATGGCTTTCCAGGAGATGCAGATGAAGGAGACAGTTTCTTCATAAGCAGGCCTGAAATCATCGTGGTACGTATTTGGCTTTGGAGAATGGTTGGTGGGGAAGGATATTTTTGTGGCCTATGAGGGGAGTGGCAAAAAAAATCATGTTATACATTGGTTGTCCGAGTTTGTAAAGCTGTCTGGGCATTCTTCACGCTTTGACACAGCGCTGTGATTTATCTGTTTACCTCTTTGCCTTTTCCCAGTTTAATTGCAGCCTGAGACAGACAAGTAGTCCAGATATGTCCCATCAGCCCCAGGTCCAGAACATCACCTTCAGCATGGAGCTGTATGATACAGACCTCTTCCTGGTGCCCGTCTCAGGCATTTTAGCAGTGGCAGAAAATGGGCACATTTATGTTGAGGTAAGAAAGCAAAGACTGATATTGTGCTTTGGGCATTGCCAGCCGAGCATTTACCGTGACACCTGGGAGCAGCAGCCTGCTTTTCAGTGAGGATAAGGGAATCTTTCTTATGTCCTCCTTCTGCCCAGCCACAATGCCAAGCACAGCCTGGCTCAATTAAATACTTGCTGATTTGGTTTAGACCAAAGTGCGGCCATTTGGGGAAATGGATTGAGCTCATTGGAGAGGACATTTTCTGGAAGAATGACCGGCCCTTTTCATAAAACTTTATGCCTGTTCTGTATTCTGCATTTTTGGAGTGTTAATCTGGATACAGAAGATTAAAGGATGTCATTATATAAATCTGTGTTTGAAAAAGAAGACAGCTTTTCCATGAGGCAAGAGCATGACTATGGGGGAGCTAATGTAGGCCAATGGTATTTTCATTCATTCAGTCACTCAACAAACATTTTTTAAACACCTACTATGTGCTAAGCATTGAGGATACAAAGAAAGACAAAAAAAAAAATCAGTCCCTGCCCTCAAGGAGCTCACAGTCTGTTGGGGCAGACAGCATTCAAGCAGCTATGTACAGACAAGGTATATACTGGATAAGTTGGAGAAAACCCACAGAGAGAATGCACAAGAATTAAGGGGGATCCAGAAGGCTTCCTGTAGAAGGTGGGATATCAGCTGGGACTTGAAGGAAGCTGGGAGGTCGAGAAGAGGAAAGAGGGCATGCCAGGCAGGGGGCACAGGCAGTAGAAATGCCAGGAGACTGGAGATGGAGCAGGGTGGTCAATGTCCCTGGGTAGCAGAGTGGGCGTGTGGGGACAGGGTGAGGAATATAAAGTATAAGAGGACAAAGAAGGTTGTGGGCGGGGCAAGTTATCAAGAGCTCTGAACAAAAGCAGCGTTTTCTATATCATCCTGGAGGTGGTAGGGAACCAGTGGAGTTTATTGAGTGAAATGGTCCCACTGGCACTTTGGTCACTGAATGGAGGGTGAACTGGAATGGGTGAAGACTTGGGGCAAGGAGCCTAACCTTCAGGCTGCTGGAATAGTTCAGGCATGAGATGATAAGTGCCTGCATCAAGGTGATGACAAGCCTTGGCAACAGAATGGATATGAGAGGTAAGTGAGGGTGAGGGGCCAAGGATGGCGCCCAGGTTTTAAGCCTGGGTGATTGGGAAGATCGTGTTGCCCTTTTCGAGGAAGTTTGAAAAGGAGGAAGTTTTAGGGGTAAATTTATCAGTTCAGTTTTGGACATGTTGAATTTAAGAGATCTACTGCACATCCAGCAGCCAGTTGGAGATGCAGATCTCTAGGCTAGCAGAGAGGTCAAGGCTGGATAGCCAGAATCATTAGCATAGGGATGATAACTGAATCCATGGGAGCTGATGAGATCCCCAAGCAGTATTATAGAAGATAGCATAGATATAGGTAGTATAGAAGAGGAGGGCCCAAGAAGATCTCCCAGGATGGAGGAGGTGATGGTGGATTCCGCTCCGCCAAAAAAATTTAATGGAAAACATGGATGAGAGTTGTGCAGTTGAAAATGGATGGAGTGGTCGTTCATCAGAAACCTTTATAAAGCACCTACTATGTGCCAGGCACTGTGCTAAGTGCTGGGGATACACAAAGCAACAAAAAGATAGTTCCTTCCCTCAGGGAACTCCTAATCTAACGGTGGGCTTCCCTTCATTCAAGGCTGAACACTTGTTAGGCATGTTATAGTGGGGATCCTATCAGACTAGATGCTTTAGTTATAAGTCAAGCAGACTTGAGTCCAAATCCTGATTCTGCTGTGTGACCATGAGCAAATCACTTAATTTCTCTGTGCCTCTGCCCCCTTATCTGTAAAATGGGTCTAACAGTGCCTGTTGTACTTACCTCCCTAAGCACTTATAAAATTCAGATGTAATAGTGTATAACTGCTTTGCCAACTCTAAAGTGCTATATAAATGTGAGTTATTATTTCTATCATTTTATAACATGGGTGATCAGGGGTGATTTGCTAAACTGTAATATTTTCCATAGAGCCAAACAAGACACATGTACACTTGCCATTTGCTAAGGAATTTATCACTTCCTGAGATATGCCCCGGTCCAGCAAATTAGGGCTTCCCCAATCACCCATACCATGAATAGAAACGTCTTCTTTTTTTTACTTCCCAGATGATCATTTTATTAGGTGAGTGACTATTAAACTTGATTTTTAAAAATTTAATTTAGTTGTTTTCAGTGACCAAAGATTTATTTAGTAAATTTACAAGCATTTATTAAGTACCTGCTGTGTTCCAGGTACTGTGCTAGGGGCTGGAGCTGTAAAGGATGACAAAATACAGTCTCTGATCTCAAAGACTGCACAGTGTAATGGAGGAGACAGTGATGTACAAACATAAAGAATAGATTGGAGATCATTTCAGAGGGAAGGTACTAAGATTAAGTGAGGACTGGGAAAGACTTCTTGCAGAGGGTGGGACTGTAGCTGAGACCATAGGGTGGAGAAGAGGGACAGAGTTCCCTCCATTGGGTCAGGGATGGGGAGTGGGGAGAACAAATATGCATTGTGTAGAGAAGCAAATTCCTGGATTGACCATGTCCAGAAAAAACATCTCATTGTGAAGTTTGATTTCCCACACAGTGCTTGGCTCGGTTGACCCAGATCATACACGGCCCTGATTCTCTGGAATTGTCCTACGTACCACCTAAACGAGCCGTAGACAGAGCGACCAAAGCCCATATCCGAATTGATTTTCTGAAAATGAAGCAAAACTTTCTCCTGCAAGACACTTAGTTTCTATTTGCCTCTGGGAAAGATGGGGCTTTTTCAGAGCTGAGAGATTTGCTATTTGGAAAACCATAGGCTTAGCTCTCTGGTACGATCAGGTACAATATATTATCCTCGTACCTAATTAGAGAAGCCATCAGCTGACAATTCACAGCTCCCTGTGTTGTACGACCAGCTGGTGTCTCGCGGCATCGTCGTGAGCAGGTTGAGACGGGATGCTTCCATAAATCACAAATGACTTTGGCCCACATATTTCTGGTTTAGGAACACAAACAACTTTCCCATTTGGATCAGGACTTCCACTCTGCCTCAGACTCTGGGATGGGGCCCGTTGGCGTTCAGCTCTGTCTGCTTCTGTGGTCCAGACATTGTGACTTTTGGATTACCTGTCCTGATAGGAGCCTCTGTTCTTTAGGTGAACCTCTCCTTTCTGCCCTATGGAAAATATGCCGGCTTCTTGGTAATGCTCCCCATTGCCATCTGGCCCCCTCCCCAAATATCCATGTATGTCTTGTTTTGGCAGTCATCCGCATGTATGAAGTGGTTAATGACTCCCAGATGTTTCACCAGCCCCCAGGGCTCTTATCGAGGTGTCATCTTTATCAAATTTGTTTCTCTGAGAGTTTTGCTTTGTTTCTTTCCTAGTCATTGGCACGGTCTTCCTTGTGTGTCCCTCTCAGGGACATTCCCCCCTCTTTTTAATATTTCTTGTGTTTTCCTCACTTGATCTGTTGTAATTGTCTTCCTCTGTTTTTTAATGGAAGGTCGACCCACTCCTATTTGTCAATTTTTTTTTACCCTTTTAAAGATCAGTTCTGATTTTATAGTTTAAAAATGTCCCTTGGAATTTGTAGAGATGACACTCTATTGATACCTTTAATGTTGAAGAAGAAATGAGCTAGGACTCCTAGTCATTATTTTGTTGTAATCAAGGAGATTTGGGAAAGTAGTTTACAGATGTTTTTTAACATGTTATTTTAAAGGACCAAAATATGAAAGAAGCATGGTTTTTATTTTAAAAGTAGTCATTTCAGGATATATCCCTCCCTCCCTACTATTCCCTAACTTCAGTAAATCTTTACTTGTAACATCCCTTCTGACCTCCCATTCCCATAAAAGAGCAGCTAAGCAGAATGAACTACCCCAGTGACTTTTTGCATAACGTCTTCTGCCTTCCACACACACCTCCCTACCTGCCCAAGTAAAGGTGAATGTTCTCAGTATCAAGGATTCCCCTCTCCCTTTTAAAAAAGTGAACAAAAGTAAACCAAGTCACGCCTTTGTCAACTGGAGTTCCCAGGATCTGGGAAGTATTAAAAATGTATTTTGATGACCGTTTTTAAAAAAAGGCTTTTTTGTCATTCTTGATATTTTATTCTTATTAAATAAATTATACGGAGGAAAGTTTCTAAGTTTTACCAGACTGCTGAAATAAGTCCATGACACCAGAAGGGGAAGGAAGAATAAGGGGGGGAAAATAAGCACGTATTAAGTGCCTGCTGTGTGCTAGGTGCTTTATAAATATTATCTCATTTGTTCCTTACAACAGTCCTATGAGTTAGATACTATTAATGTATTTTTATAGTTGAGGAAACTGAGGCAGGCAAGTGAAATTACTTGCCCAAGGTCACAAAGCTAGGAGGTTATCTGAGGCAGGATTTGAACCCAGGTCTTCCTGATTCCAGATTATCTCCATGATGCCACCTAGCTGCTGCCTCTTAAGACCCCCTGTTTATAGAGTAGAGATACCCCGTTCAACCAGAATCTTGTTTCTTGAAGTTAACTATCCTCCTGAGAAGTAGTTTTTTTTTAAAATTATATCCAAATCATTTAGGGAACATATCTTGAACTTTGGTATCTCCTTCCCACACTCCCCTCCTAAAGCCTAGCATTTGTATTTTGGGCATAATCGCAACCTTATATTTTAAACTTTCATAAAGACCTAGTTTAAATGAAACATGGCCATTAAACGACTGGTTTGATAGGAAATCTTAATTCCACGGAAAACAGAACAATGAGCAGAAGTGTCTGTAAGTAGGTTTCATTTTGTCTTTGCCTCTAGCATCCAAGTGTTGCTTAATACATATTTGGTGAATGAATAAATGAATGAAAAGAAGGAAACTCTTCCTAACAATCAGAACCCGTCCATTAGGGCGTGGGATGCCTCCACAGGTCATGAACTCCCTTTCCATCCCTGGAGGTATTCAGGAAGAAGGTAGATGACCCCTTGTTGAGAATAAGGATAATAATAATGGCTTACTTCTATGCAGCACTTTCAATTTTGCAAAGGTAACATACTTTATCACATATGAAAACGTGAGCTTCTTGAGAGAAGGGATGGTCTTGCTTTTCCGTTATTGTCTTCAGTGTTTAGTACAGTACCTGGACCCCAGTAAGTGCTTATCACTAGAAAGACCAAGCATGTTAACTGACAAGGAAGTATATTCAGTAATCAATATTTTCTTTCTCCTAGCTGTGTAAATGCACTTTAAATATAAACAGTTACCAGCAGATATTGTCATTTAATTTGAAATTAAAATGTTGTCCCACTGTCCCTATTTTCTTTGTCTTCTGGATAAAAATAATTCATGGTGTCAGGTGGCACAATTTGGTTGCTCTAACCAATTCTCAAATTCCAGTCCTTTTGAAGGATTTTTATGTGACCCCCATTTCTGCAAAGAAAAGTACATTTCCTCATTTTGTTCTTTGGGGACAAGCTTAATCATTATATAGTATTCTGATACACATTTTTAAAAACTTGGCTTATGCACGTGTTCAGAGTTCCTCTTTAAAAGTAAGATATTTTAGTAGCATGTTAAAAAAAACCATTGTGTTCATGATACATTTATTAAGGTTTTTAATTTTGTTTTCTGGAAAGGAAAAATCTACTGAGTTCAAAACACCTTTCTCTTAGTTTTTTTGTTTTTGTTTTTGTTTTCCAGAATAGAAAAATCTGCTGAATTTAGGATGTTTTTTGTATTTTTTTGTTTCCCTCTTATAGAATATAAAAATCTTTTAAGTTTAGGACAACCCTAGAAAAGAATAAATTTAATCTGGCATCTAGGAAATGAAATACCTTTCTCTTGGAAAGATTAATTTATAATATTGTTCTCAATCTTGCAAAGTTAAACCCTGAGATTGAGAGACATAGCAAAGATTTTTAAGTTTAAAAAAAAAAGCCATTTTCTAGAAAGGTAACTTAGTAGAAAAAAAAATTTCAATTTGTAAGCCCCATCCTCCAACAAAACAAAACAAAACAAAAACAGACCGTGTCAGACTTTGGTAAATTGAGATAACCCATTCTGTCAGAATCATTTGGAGGCCTGAAGTTAACTGTATGGGAGTACTTCACTCCCAGAGACAGTCTGGAGTAGGACAGACTGTCCTAGAGAGGAGAGTTGAGTCACATCTTGTCTCTTGCCCAAGTTCTGAATCCCCAATGGAGAGCATTGGGCAATACATAAAAATTCATTTTATCCCTAAAATACCCAGTTTTACATTAATCCTTAATTTGGTTGAGAGTACCACCAGAAAGGAAGTGCTTATATGCCCAACCCCCCTTCCCCCAACCACCACCAAAGGAGTCATCCCAGACTATGAGGTAGGGTTTCCTCAATGGAATATCTACTAGAGTCCAAATTCAGAACTGAGTTTGAGGGAAATCGTGTTTGAATTTTGTTTACCTTTGGTCCAACATAACCTTATGTTTCAAAAGAAGGGAAAAATCATAGGATCTGACCTTAGCCTAGACTAGTTTTCTAAAAGAGGAAAGTGTAAGGGGCAGCTAGGTGGTGCAGTGGATAGAGTACCGGCCCTGGATTCAGGAGGACCTGAGTTCAAATCAGGCCTCAGACACATAACGCTTACTAAGCTGTGTGACCCTGGGCGAGTCACTTAACCCCATTGCCTAAAACAAAAAAATAAATAAGTAAAAGAGGGAAGTGTAAATGAGTTGGAAACATTTTCAAATCCCCCCCCCCCAATCCCGATGCTTTAAGAATGAAGCTTACTTGACAAAGCTTGTCTTGAACTGGAAAACAATTTGGGACATTTGGCCGAATCAAGGGCTGTGCCAGGTTGAGTCACCCATTATATTATGTCCCTTGCAAAGGGAGCCTGGTCCTGCCTCTTGAGAAAGGTACCAATGTTGTCACCAGAAAGATGGCTGCCATGCTAACACTGACTTCCCATGACTCCTAAACCCAGCTTATGTTAAATAAACTCTGAATGTTTTACTCTTCTCTTTGGAGAACCTTTTTAAAGGAGCAGTCGCTTCATAGGACCAGTATTAGAAAGCCTGGGAGCTAATTTTTCCTCTAGGAAAATTAATTTTTTTGTGACTTGTATCTTTTTGTTCATATTTCCAGTGGAGTGGTGGAGGTGTTGAAGATTCTAATTGTGAAACATTCAGCTTCTTTCTAGTCTAAGAGCATATGGGTCCATCATTAGTATCACTGCTAGTGTTAGTGCTGGCTGTTATTTTGTTCTCATCTTTTTTGATACGATTCAGATAGAAATGGCTTGAGGACAAGTAGTTATGCTGCTGTCAAGCTTTTATATTTAATATTCTGCGCATTATTGCATAGCTACATAAATTGACTGCTTTTTATAATTCATTACGAGTATTAGAATACAAACTCATTTTTGGAGGGTTCGCTCAAAGTGTCTTTAGGACAATTCCCACGAAGCCCAGGATAATGTATTTTGTCCTGTTCAGTCCGCCAATCAGTAAACATTTATTAAATGCCTGCTATGTGCCAGGCACCATGCTAAGCACAGGGATACAAAAAGAGGCAAAAGACAGTCCCTACCCTCTTGTTCTTCTGTGGTTTTAATTTCTTCTGGTTGGTCTCTATATTTTGACAGCTTTCTATTCCATGTGCTTTGGAGATTATTATGAGTATTTAGTGTGGTGACATTGTTGGAAATGTATTTTTATGTATCGTGGTGATACCTGGGCACTTAAGGACAATAGTTCTGCCTCTGGATATTCAGAGCCAAGTGTGATTTATTATTTGCTGGGTTCTCAAGCATATTTTAGTCTTTGTCCATATTTGGGGTTTGTTAACTATTGGTTTATTGGGAGCAAGCTTCTGGTGCATCAAATTCTAGCCACCTAACTGGGGCTAACCCTAATCTTAATATTATTGAGATAGTTCTTAATAATGATAATGATAATAATAATAATAATAATAGTAATAGGAGCATAGATAGGGATTGGACCAGTGATTTCATTGGCACAGGGAGCTCCCAGATAAGGAGACGCCCTCTACTAAAGCAGGTCAGCCCTCTTGCGCAACTTGTAGTCTTAGAGGGTACCTAGAGCATTGAGAAAAGTTCCAGTGACTTGCCCTGGGTCATATAGTATGTGTCTCTGGCAGGACTTGAACCCAGATCTTCTTGTATTTGAGGCCGGCTTTTTCTCCACGATGCCCTGCTACCTCTATTATTAATAATTACAGCTAACAATTATGTAGCACTTAAAAGTTTACAAACCACTTTGTACCTCTCGTTTGATTGTCACAACTGCCCTCTGAGCTGAGTAAGTACTCTGATTACCATTTTATAAGCAAGGAACTGAGGCTCAAAGACTCGCCCAAGGTCACACACCTAGTGATGGCTTGGTGTTTGTATTCATTTTTGATTTGGTGGAGAGCTCATCTGGAGAGGAAGTCATTACACTCAACAGAAACAGGCACCTCAGACAATGTGCTTGGGTTCCATAGTGGACCTTAGTTCTAGGCGGTTAATTTTAACTTGTGTTGGAATCTCCTGGGCTGATATATGCGCAAAACCGCTGGTTTAAAGTCCAGCTCAAATAAAAACCACCTCCCTAACTTTGAAATGCTGCATCTCCAGGCTGCCATGTTTGTCTGAAGCATGGCTGAAAGGCTGTGCCAACCCGTGATGCTTTTGGCTCATTCTTCAGTTTATCTTCCTTATGTTGTTATGTAGGTCTCTGTTACCAAGGCCGACCAAGACGTGGGATTTGCCATCCAAACGTGCTTTATCTCTCCGTACTCCAACTCTGACAGGATGTCTGATTACGCTATCATAGAGAACATTTGTCCTAAAGATGAATCTGTGAGATTCTATTCGCCCCAGAAGGCACATTTCTCTCGACTCCATGCACAGATAGACAAAAAGAGATTTAGCTTCATGCTCAAACCCATTTTTAACACTTCACTGCTCTTCCTACAATGTGAACTCACCTTGTGCACAAAGAAAGAAGAAGAAACCCACAGACTGCCAAAGGTTAGTAGTTCATTAGCTCCCTTGAACTTTTAAAGTTCTGTTTTTTTAGAAAAATAAGACAGTGACCTTCAGAATAATCACAAGTTATGGCAGATTTCAGCGTTCAGTTCTAGGACAGCCAAAAATAGAGTAATAAAGTAAATATAATTTCAGTGACCTGTGAGTTTTGTGGAATCTTATGGAATAAATCTTAACAATATGATTTTTTTTCCACTCATGTTATTAAAAAGTACATTAGATGTGATAAATTAGGATTATTTTCCATGGAGGGAGTGGTCTGGCTTTATCTCTGCTATTCAGATCGTGTAGAGAGCCAGGACTACAAATAGGCTGAAGAACAAGGCAGTGCAAGCATTACTTTTTCCATACCCCTCAAGGAGTTGATTTGCAATTGTTTTTGACCTTCTCTGTGTGGATTATAGGGTTGGTTTTAGTGAAGCGTCCAAGGGAAGTTAGCAGATATTTAAATTTCACATGGTAGCTTCTCATGCTGGGTTGATTTTGGTCGATATATTGAACTGTTATCATGGTGGACCAGAAGTCTTGACCATATGACATGACTGGTTGTGTGGAACTGTTGCCAAACCAAAGGTTAATTAGGGTATTTAATCATATCAGCCTTGTGTGCCTACGACACACACTCTTAAAAAAATGTTTACATAACCGTGTCATTTCCCAGTACCATCTCTGTCCTCATCATCTTTGTCACAAAGAAGTTTGGTTAAACAAAGCGTACTAACCTTGTCTGAAAGCACAGGCTTTATTCCCTACCCATGGTTCATCACCTCCCTATGGAGAAAAGGGAAGTCCATTTTATTATCAGTTCCCTGAAATCAAGATTGGTCAGTATGCTGATTCAGTCGTAGATCTAGTGATGTAAGGAACCTCCAAACTCTTCATCAAACAGTTGAGAAAATGGAAACCAAGAAATGTTAAATAACTTGTCTGAGGTCACACAGGTATAGGATCATAAAACCAACAGCTTAGAATTAGACGGGACTGTGAAGGTTATCAAATCCATTTTTACAGATGAAGAAACTGAGATACAAAGGGGTTAATTGATTTGCCCCAAGCTACTCAGCAAATAAGTATCTGAGATAGGTTTTGAACGATTCCTTGTTACAAAGAATAGAAAAGAGAGACTCTCTCCCAAACTAACACTGAACCTGACAATATAGGTATTCAGTATTCTGCACCCATAGCCCCCACCTCTTTAATAAAAGGAGAGGAGCTAAACTATTAATCCTTTTGACTCAATAGATGGAAACAAGTTCATGTGTACATTTCTGCAACCCATGTGAACAAAGCTTTCATGTCTCATCAATCTGCTGAATAGAAAGCACCAGTTCTCTGGTTTGCCTAGAGAAGCCTTCTCTCAACCCAGCAGCGACACTGAAGCCTCCAGTCATTAGGGGAAAACACAAGCTGTCCTGTGGTGTTTGCCTTTTGAAATGCAGCTGAGAATACATTTCCTCCGCCAGTAGATTTTGCAGCTTGTAGGGAGTTTGGTCTGATAAATGCTTCCATCTCCTGTTTCTCTTCAGTAAACAACACTGAGGCGCTCTGATAATGAGGTAGCCACACAGCTGTGCTGGCAGAGGCAGAGGAGGTTTGGTTCTGAGAGAATCCCCGTCTTTGACCTTTATCCTTCTTCTCTACAGTGCATCCCTCCTGATGAAGCCTGTACCTCTTTGGATGCGAACATGATCTGGGCCATGATGCAGAATAAAAAAACGTTCACTAAACCGCTGGTCGTCATCTATGGAGATAAAAATGAAGGTATGCCTTGATGCCCTCCATAGCAACAGAGAGCACCAACCTCGTGCCATATATCAAAGATAACTTCAAGAAATCAGTGAGGATGCTTTCTTTTTTTTCCTTCTTTCTTTTTTCCTTCCTTATTTCCTTTCTTTCCTTCCTTTCTCTTTCTCTCCTTCCTTCCTTCTTTTCTTTCTCTCCTTCCTTCCTTTTCTCTTTCTCTCCCTCCTTCCTTCCTTCTTTTTTCTTTCTTTCTTTCTTTCTTTCTTTCTTTCTTTCTTTCTTTTCTTTCTTTTTTCTTTCTTTTCTTTCTTTCTTTCTTCCTTCTTTTCCTTCCTTCCTTCTCTCTCTCTCTCTCTCTCTCTCTCTCTCTCTTTCTCTCTTTCTCTCTTTCTCTCTTTCTCTCTTTCTCTCTTTCTCTCTCTTTCTCTCTTTCTCTCTTTCTCTCTTTCTCTCTTTCTCTCTTTCTCTCTTTCTCTCTTTCTTTCTTTCTTTCTTTCTTTCATTATTTGTTGCAAGATAGTGCCTTCTAATGAATGGAAGGGACCAGCCTTGCAGTCAAGAAGGCCTAAGTTTAAGTCCTCCTTCTGATACGTACTAGATTTGCAATCTCAGGCCATTTATTCAACATCTCAGTTGCCATAGTCAGCTTTTTAAACTAAATGTTACAGAGGAGTTGTCAGTCTGTATCTGTAGAGGGAGTTTCCTTACTGGGAGTTCCTGACACTGACGAAATCTTAGGTTTGCTTGCCCTCTTAAAAAATTATAAATAGCATTGATATAGTGCTTTAAGATTTGCAAAATGCTGTACAAAATATTATCTCATTTGATCTCACAACAATCCTGGGAGATAGGTGCTATTATTAGCTCCATTTTACAGACGAAGAGACTCAGGCAGATAGAAGTTAGATGACTTGCCAAAGATCATGCTGTTCATAGGTGCCTGTAGGAGGATTTGAAGTCAAGTCTTCCTGACTTGAGCTCTAGCACTTTATCCACTGAGCCACCTAGCTGCCTATAAATAGAAAAAAAAGTGTTTTTCAGTTTTATTGACTCCTTTTGTTTTTACACAACAGTCATTTCCAGGTGTGCATTTTTAAACTACACAGTTAAACCTTCCCCATTAACAAAAAGTTAAGTGAAACCAATTCATAGGATCATATATTTAGAGGTAGGAGGGCTGTTAGTGGTCATCTAACCCTTTCTTTTTACAGAGAAAGAAACCAAGCCCCAGAGCAGGGAAGTGACTTGCTTACAGTCAGACAGATAGTAAATGAATGGCAGAACTGGGATTGAAATCCAGGTCCTCCAGCTTGGAATCTTAGGCTCTTTCCACTGGGCCACACTTCCTCTACATTTCACGGCCACTATCCCTCCGATGATCTAAAGGAAGAGGGATATGTGTTTTATTATCTACTAAAACTGGTCACTGGATGCTGATCAGTTTTACAAAAAAGTTTCTTTATTTCCCCATTGTTTAATGTTCCCTTATTGCATTTAAGTTAATTTATTTAAGCATTTGATATAGAAACATTTTTTTCCAGAATAAATCTCTTGCATAAAGCATGTTTTGCATCTGTATGCAAAATGTGCTCTCTCTCTCTCTCTCTCTCTCATTCTTTCACTCTCCCCCCCATCTCCCTCTATTTTCCTTCCTCCCTTCTTTCCTCTTTCTCTCCCTCCTTTCCTCCATCTCCCCTCTCTCTCTACTTTCATCCCCCATTCCTCCTCGTCTTCTACTTTTTTCTCTCTGTTTTAGTTTCCTTTCTCCCTATCCCTCCCTACCCTTCTACTTTCCCTTCTCCCTCCCTCCCTCCCTCTCTCTCTCTCCCTCCTCCTCTCTCTCTCTCTCTCTCTCTCTCTCTCTCTCTCTCTCTCTCTCTCTCTCTCTCTCTCTGTGTCTCTGTCTCTCTTTCCATACACACACACATATACACACACAGACACAGACACAGACACACACAGGCCCATGTGCCTATTAGAAGCAGCCCTGTCTAGTGAAATTAGAATGGAAAGTTAGTTGGTCCTAATTTCATAATTAACTTCATGGAAAGCCTGAGATTGACACATCTGTTTCTGTGGTTTGGGGGGCAGGGTAGTTCATCATTTAGAACAAACAGCCATGGAATGTAGCAGCAACAGCGTTAGACGGGGGGGGGCAAGGCACACCAAGGTAGTTGTGAGATCTTACAGCAGTCACTTCAGTTCCCAGGGCCTTCCTATCCTGGAAATGAAGCATTGTTTAAGGGGCCGATCTTTAAGGCCCCATCTCCACTCTGATGGTCCATGATTCCGGTTGTTGTCAGTATCCATCTTCTTCCTCCACCAGTGAAGCCATCCAACTTGGGCTGGTGCTTGAGACATAGAGCAGTTAAATGATGTGCCCAGGGTCACACATCTAGTGCCACTGGTCTAAATTGAATCCAGGTCTTCCCAATTCTAAGCTTGGTACACCATACTGCCTCAACGTGATTCTGTTCATATGAATGAAATGAGCCTAAATTAATTTAGAGCTTGTCATGCAGCATACCTAAAGTCAGTTATAAAATGTACAGAGTCGACATTTCTCCACTCCTTCACAAGGTAAAGGTTTTTATTAGCTAATTTCCAATCACTTGAAGCAACAGTTGTAATCATAAAGGTTCCCTCTATGAATGAGTTTTGTTTGTGATTTCATTGTTAAAGGGGATGCCTGAGGCAGAAACCCTCTCTACCCACACAAAACTGTATGTACCCTGTAATTTATAATCTTGGAGAATTGCCCCGGGGCGCTGAGACGTTAGATGACCAGGGTCACCCAGCCAGTCCCTTTGGGTCAGAGGCGGGTCTTGGAGCTCCAGCTTCCTGACTTGAAGGCCAGCCCTTTATCCATTCACTAGGCTTCCCTCTTAAATGGATTAGCCCATTTATAATCTAAGTTTCCAATTAGAGCAAGAAGAAATAAGAAGCAATTGTATAACCAAGTGTCCCAGAAACTGGGCAACAGCTGATGATCCCACAAGGTTTAACAATGGCTACTGCTTCCTCATAATCCATCTGTTACCATCACCTATTTTGGAGGATGTATTCCTGCTGGTAATGGGTCAGCAGCACGCTCTTTCCCAGTCCAGACAATTAGGCGTTAATAATGTAACCGTATTACTTCCAGTAATTCATTCTGCTTTCAAGTTGAGTGGTTTGATTTTCCTTTCTAATCTCTCCTCCACAGCCACTTCACATTATTCAGGCTTAGGACAATTAACCTGAAATTTCAGCTGTTTTTTTTTTGTTGTTGTTGTTCTGTATAAAAGTGGTCAAATGGGAAGACTTTAATCCCCAGTAAAACAATTTAATGAGGTTTGCTAATTAAGAGGCTACTGGATGGGATGGGGGAAGAGTTCAGGGTTTGGATTGCTATAACCAGTTGACTGGACTATATTTAAAAGTACTGTTCTAACCAGTGCCCTAGAGAAAAATAAACATTCTTTGTACATTTTTCAATGCTTTTTGTTTTTTCTAAACCACCCTCGTGTTTCAGGTTTTCTCATTTTTGGAGTCCATAAAATCATAGATCTATAGCTGGAAGAAACCTGGAAGAAATTAGGCCAGCTAGTCTAATGCCTTTATTTTACGGATGAGTAAACTGAGGGCCTGGGAGGTTAGAGGCTTTGCCCTTGCAAGATAGATAACATTGGAGGCAGGATTTGACCCTGATCTTCTAACTCTTTAGAGACAGCGCTCTTTCTGCTGTACTACCTACCTCTTACTAACAGAAAGCGCAAAACTCTCCCAAATGTGAGTGTGAAGTAGAAAAGGACAAATATACGTGTCATAAGATTGTTTGAGTGATAAGAGCTGGATAATTTATTCACAGAATAAAATATTTCAAGCTGAAAGGAACTTTAGAGGTGAACGAGCCCAGTTCCTTCATTTCTCATAACTCCGTTTTATTATTTTATTTTTGGTTCTGAATTTTCTCTCTTCCCCTTCCCCTCTCCCACCCAGTGAGAAGACAAGAAAAACAAAATTTGTTAGAAATATGTGTGGTCATTCAAAACAAATCCCCTCATTAGCCAGGTATAAAGACAGAATAAAAGAAAAAGGAAGAAATGAAAATCTGCTTCTTTCTGCACTCTTTGAGTCCACCAGCTCACTGTCTTGAGGTGAATAGCATGTTTCATCACAGGGCTAAATGCTAAGGGGAGTACAAAATAAATGACTGTGATCAATGTCCTCAAGTTGCTGAAAGGCTCTGACCCACAAATAGCCCTGAGAGAAATGATTGGCTAGGGCCATGGAGGGCTTAACTCTAATTGACTTAAAGCCAACTGGGTTGATTACACAATCACTGTATTCCTACAAAATTATGTATAGGATTTGGTAAATGGAATCATATCTTGCCAGACTGGGAGATTGCCTTGCCCAACCTATGCTAAACCAGAATTACTCTATGGCATACCTGGAAAGTAGGCATCTGGTCATTCCCAAAAGACCTCCAGGTTGGGGGCAGCTTCTGGACAGCTCCAACAATTATGCCCACCCAGGTTTTCCCTGAGGTCAAGCCTGAATCCACCTTTGTGCCCACATTGCTGTCCCAGAGGGTCAAACTAAACTAGTTTAATCCCCTAATCAAAGTTTTGTAAATGGAAACCTTTAGTAAAAACACTGGAGGGCTTTGCTATTGAACAGAACTCTCCAGTGAATCCATTTGTAAAGCTACCATCACACCTTAATTGATGTGTTTAGAGAAAATGTGAATTTCTGTGTATCTGGTTTTCTTTATGTAGGCCACACCTACGCTGTCTTATTAATAGCTTAGGCACCTATACAATGAGAGGCCTCCAGATAGAATGTAAAGAGGGCTAGCCTTGGAGTCAGCAAATCACTTTGCCTCTGTCTGCTGGCTATACGACTTTTGGTCATATGAGACATTCCTTGGACCTCAGTTTCCTCGTCTGTAAATAGAGGATTGGATTAGATGGCCTCTGGAAAGCCTTTCAGCTCTGGGCCTGTGATCCTGTTAGGGTCCTGAGATTGTAGACAAGTCATTTAACATCTGAGTTCTCTAAGCAATTCTCTCAAACTCCTGAGTTAGAAATAGGTCACTATTCTGCATCCAGGGAGGGAATTCCCACCCTGGGAGTCACCCACACGGATGGAAACAGAGCTCCAGACCAAAATCGATAACAACAAAACCTCCAAACCTCTAGGGTGAATTTCAGATCTGATGAGACCATTAAAGTGAGATTTCACAAACCATGGCTATTAGAGAATTCTGCTGGTCTAAGCTGAAATGGCTGTTTTTGCAATAACCTTGTATTATTAGCCTTTGGCTGAATGAAATGTTGATGATGGCTTTGAATTTTGATAAGGGAACACCCTGTGATTAATACTGCTGCTGCTTCTTTTTTTTCTTACACAGAACCAACTATTGCCAATCCAGTCGGGAAATCACCACGTAAGTTTTCATAAATCCTCATATTTCAAAATGACGCCCCTTGGGCTTTTCTCAGAGCATGCTGGTTGATAGAGGCTTGCCAGAGGTTGAGGTTTTGATAAGGGATTTCTTGCTCTCATTCCTTCCCTCCCTTTTCAAACTCCTTCTCTTCTTCCTCCACTTTCTTTTTCTTTCTTTTTCTTCTTTCCTTCCTTCCTTCCTTCCTTCCTTCCTTCCTTCCTTCCTTCCTTCCTTCCTTCCTTCCTTCCTTCCTTCCTTCCTTCCTTCCTTCCTATCTTTCTTTCTCCTTTGCCTTTTTCCTCTCCTCCCTTGTTTCCTCTTGGCTTTGGCTATCCTTTCTACATACCCACACTAATGTTGATATACAATCAATAGGAAGGAAATAGATGCTTTAATTTGGGGAAGTAGGTTCATTCATTCTTCCAAAGTACTAAGGATTTTTGGATTTAAACTCTCTCTTCCTAGACACCTCAATGACACCCTTGTGGTCTGAAAGAGTTCATGAGTATTCATGAGAACATTTTTGCCCTGTCTATGAAAAAAAAAAGTTATTTTCAGTGGAAATAAATTTGGGGCCCTCCTAATGCAGTGCAAATAAGAGCTGACATTTATTTAGTGCTTTGAGGTTTGCAATGTTTGACAAATATTATCCCATTTGATTCTCACAACACTTCTGGGAGGTAGGATATTATTATCCCCATTTTAGAGATGAGGAAACTGAGACTGAGGTGAAGTGGCTTGCCCAGGGTGTCTGAGGCTCTCTTTGAATTCAAGTCTTCCTGACTTCAGGTCCAGTGCTCTATCTATTGAACCACCTGGGTACCTAGGAAAGTGTTTAGATTATGAGTCAAGAGATCTGGAGTATTGTGTGAGGGAGGGCTGCAAATTTGACACCTCTGCTCCATAGACCATTAAACTCGTGGATGGGAGCGTTTCTTCCCCCGGGTCCAGCTCAGACTTTATCCACTCTTCTCATCTTGTGTGGTCCTTGCCTGTGTCTTTCCATAAATCCTCCATAGAGAATTCTCAAAGAATAAGCTTAGGAGCCTGCATTTTCCCAGCTTATCATTTCTGTCTACAAGGGTGTAAGGATGCGTGTACAGAGTGAGAAGAGTGATGGCGGCATGAGGGTCTTGTGATTGGAACCTTCAGATTTTGCAGGTTGACTAGATGCTCTCCATTACCCTGCCTAAGGAAGGCATTCTTTTCCATAGAAACACCTTTCCCCATAGTTTCTTCATCAATCAACCCAGTCAATCAACATTAATTAAGCACCTGCTGCATGCCCTGTACTTTGCTTCCATTTTACAGATGAAACAGCTGAAGCCTAGAGACAGTCAAGTGACTTCCCTAAGGCCAGGTGGTCAGTGAGAGAAGGGAGGCAGGTCTCTCAGCTTTGCAACTGACCACACTCCCCTGAGTCTCTTTGCCCTAGAGAACCTGCTTAGAAATTACCTGCACCCATAACTCAGGCAGTGCCTGGAACGTAGTAGGCACTTAACATAATACTTTTTGATTGGCTTTAGCTGGACATTTTATAGTAGTTGGTTGGAAAGCAGAGAGAACTAGGTCAGAATTTATATAGCTAGAGAGCATCTGAAAATGCCCATAACTCGGGAATGCTATTTGGAGGGAAATGAAAGGATAGGGAAAGACCCAGGCCTGTTATTTATAACATTCAAGATCCAGAGACCTTAAAAACTGCACTTTCCATCAAAGGCCTCTCCCTTGTAAAACGGATTTTAGCTTTTTAGTTGAAGATTGAAGAAGGTAGTTTCCTTAACAGAAAGGAAATATTCTATTTTTGTGGCCCGGAATTCATCTCAGATATAAAAACCCGTTGCCAAGAGTGAGGAACAATCACTTCTATTTATGTGTTTTGCTGCCTGTAAAGCTGACGTCACTCCATCTTTGAAAAGCCCTTCTGTCCCCTTGCTGTTAGTGAGGCTGAGCTTGGAAAAGGGTCTTGGTTGCCCAAAGGAGTCGTCAAGATGGGGAGCTGACTATAGGAAAGAGATCAGAAAAATGAGACCATCCAAAGGGGGCGTAGGTTTCATTCCTTCCACCATTTTCTTTTTTCTTTTTTATGCTTCTCATTCTACTTTTAAAGGCTTATAAAATTTCTCAAAATAGTGTCTCTCTTTCCTCCCCTTACCTGCTTTATTTTAAAGGTATATATTTCATCATTCATTACAGAGGCAGCTTGACTTAGCTGGTAGAGGGGGTTGGGCAGAGAATCAGGAAGATGGATTCAAATCCCACTTCTGACACTTCCTAACTTTGTAGCCCTAGGCAAGTCCCTTAGCCTAGGAGAGGCAGCAGGGTCTAGTGGTTAGAGTGCTGGACTTGGTGTCAGGAAGGCCTGAGTTCAAATCCCACATCAGATACTTCCTAGCTGTGTGACCCTGAGGCTCTCTCTGCCTCAATTTCTTCATCTATAAAATAAGGATGATAATGGTTAATAATAATAATAGTGATGATGATGATAATGATAATAAAAATAAAGGTTATTATAAAGATCAAGTGAAATGACACAGAGAGGGCTTTGAGTCTAAATGTAGATTGAAGCATGCTTTTTTTACTTTATTATTCTTGGATTTGGGGTCTGTGTTTTCTTTTGCAACATGGCTAACATGGAAATGTTTTGCATGGCTGCATATGTATAATCTATATCTAATTGCTTGCTTTCTCAGGGGAGGGAAGGAGGAAACTCAAAATTTAATTTGGAACTCAAAATTAAAAAAAAACAAATGTTAAGAATTTTTGTTTATAGGTTGTTGAGAAAAAAAATTTTAAAACCAGATAAAGTGTTTCCAAAACATTAAAGCACTATATAAATGCTAGCAATTATAGTTAATGGCTTCTGGTGTCCACAGAATACTTTGTGTCTGTAAATATGGACATGACTGTGAAAACAATTGTTAAATTTTGAGTACGGCACCTACGGGAGTGGAATCTAGCCCACCCAACGTGTGAATCTCGCTGAAGTTGACAGTTTTGTCTCTTTGCTTTCCTTCCCCCCAGCAATTTTGTCTGGCCTGGACACGCTGACCGTCATGGGCATCGCCTTTGCAGCTTTTGTGATAGGAGCACTCCTCATGGGCGCCTTGTGGTACATCTACTCTCATACAGGTGAGTGTGGCTATCATGCTTCTGCTGAGGAAAGGAGAGTGATGCATGTTGTTTCTTAGAACATTGGTCTGGGGGCAGCTCGGTGGCACAGTAAATAAAACACTGGCCCTGAAGTCAGGAGAACCTGAGTTCAAATCTGGCCTCAGACCAAACACGTGACACTTACTGGCTGTGTGATCCTGGGTAAGTCACTTAACCCCAATTGCCTAAAAAAAAAAATTTAAAAAAAGAACATTTGTCTGCCTCCAGTGTACAGACCCGGATAATCAATATAATGAATTTTTGTTGCTGTCGTTCAGTAGTTTCAGTCATGTCCCATTCTTCATGACCCCATTTGGAGTTTTCTTGGCAAAGATACTGGAGTGGTTTGCCATTTTCTTCTCCATCTCATTTTACAGATGAGGAAACTGAGGCAAACAGGTCAAGTGACTTGCCCAGGGTCATACAGCTAGTAAGTGTCCAAGGCTGGATTTGAACTCATGAAGATAAGTCTTCCTGACTCCAGCTGCCCTGCTCTCCATTCCCAGTGGATACAGTCTTCTTTGCTCACGGTTCCTTTTCGAGAACGTAGCATAGCACAGTCACATACTGATTTCCATAATTGCCAGGAAGGTCCTAAGTCCTTTGGGCACTGAAGATGTCAGACAAGAACCGTTACTGCTCCTTGCATGTGGTTGAACATTTTCCTGCTGGGCCAGGTTTGTACCAGAATCCTCACTCCTGGCATTCTAAGAATTCTCATTCCACCCCAGGCAGAATTCCCCAGGATTATAGAAGAAGTAGAGTTGAGTCTCATCTTATGTCATGGAAAGTTAAGCAGGTTCAAAGTTTACCATACGATCCGACTTTGGAAGCATTTAATAAAGAGAATGAATCTTTAGATTATTGAATTGATCCCCTTCCCCAACATCCCTCACGAGCCAAGAGCAGCCTGCCGTCTAGCCTTTATACAGCACATTAAAGTTTGCAGTGGGAATACCCATATTGAAATCTAGATTAAATTAGAGCCCTCGTCACTTAGAGAGGCGACTAAGAATTTTGTTCCATCTAGAATATGAGGTTGCTATAGATGGCCATGAGGTGACTCCTGACGTTAAAATTCTGTGGTTCTTTGTCATGAGTCTGATGTGGGTCCTCATCTGCCCAGTGATGAGATTGACATGGAGGGCCTCTGAAATCCTTTCTAGGGGTCCTCTCGGATCCCATGTTCTTACATGGTTTCTGGGCCAATTTATTGCAAAATTGCCCTCCCCTCCTCCCAAAATAATAATAATCCTGTTGAAGTAAATAGCAAGGACCATTTAAAAACAAACACCCCCTCCAAAAAAAAGGGAAAAATCCACTAGCTAGAATATCACTGGTTCCTCCTTATACTAACTCATAGAGGGAGGGAAGGCAGGGAGATCACAGACCTTAGATGGTATAGAGGACCAGCAACTTCCATCATATATCAAAACGATCCCATTTATAGAATAGCAGCTCTCCACTGGTTTCTTTCCATTTCATAAACAGCTCACGGCAACCAAACCAAACCATGTATTTAAATTTTTGAGTGTATTCTAACCAGGACAAGAGTCTGCATAATCTCAAGTTTCCACTTTATCATAAAACAGTCCTTTGTCTATGGGTTACGTTCTCTACTCACTGCATTTTGAAAACACAGCCCTCAAGGTGAGCTGCAACACTCTCATTGTAGCCTGCATAATTTATTCTTCATCATGGAATAGGATTAGATAAGACCACTACTGAGACGAAGCTGAGGGGTGGCACTTGGGGGGAAGTGGGCCAGGTAGGGAGGAAGAATAGGAAAAGTCTAGAATGAATAGTTTTGAATTGTGTAGATTGGCTTTGCTTATTAGGTACTAATCTCATTGAATTAATGTGCCAGCTTGAACAATGAAATAGATAAATAGAGCACTGGACTTGGAATCAGGAAGACCTGAGCTTGAGACTTGCCTCATATATTTACTAGCTGTGTGACCCTGGGCAAGTAACTTAACTTCCAGGCCTCAGTTTCCTCATCTGTAAAATTGGGATATTAATAGCCTCTACCTCCCAGGGTTGCTATGAGGATCAGCAGAGATAACATGTAAGAAAGTAGTTTGTAAGACATAAAGTGCTCTATCAATACCAACTATTATTATTATCGTTATTATTTTCCTTTCTTTTAAAACTTTTAAATGTTTTTTCCTATTCAATTGATTTTTAAATCCTTTTTTTTTTAAAGTTTTATCCATGGTTTTCTTTTTAACAATCTACCAAGGCTGGGGAACCTGCAGCCTCGAGGCCATGTGTGGCCTTCTAGGTCCTCAAGTGTGGCCTTTTCACTGAATACAAGTTTTACAGAACAAATCCTTTCATTAAGGGGATTTGTTCTGTTAAGTTTGCATTCAAAGGGCCTGAGCTTGAGGACCTAGAGGGCCGCATGTGGCCTTGAGGTCAGAGGTTCTCCACCACAGATCTAGTCATTTCCAGATGTGATACCTCCATTTTATTGTAATTGTAATATAAGTTCCTTGAGAGCCAGGACTATTTCTCTTTCTTTCTTTTTCTTTCTTTGTTTCTTTCTTTCTTTCTTTCTTTCTTTCTTTCTTTCTTTCTTTCTTTCTTTCTTTTTCTTTCTTTCTTTCTTTCTTCTTTTTTCTTTCTTTTTTCTTTCTTTCTTTCTTTCTTTCTTTTTCTTTTTCTTTCTTCTTTTCTTTTTCCTTTTCTTTTCTTTCTTTCTTTCTTTCTTTCTTTCTTTCTTTCTTCTTTGTATCACAGTGCCAGGCACATGGTAGGTGCATCATAAATGCAGGTTGATGATTGATTTGTTCATTAATTCTCCTTTCTCTTTGCGTAGACTCTGAATTTGCATTCCAGGAAGAGAAATCAGTCATAGGCCGATATACTGAATAGCAGAAGTTACAGAACAGAAAACTTAAGAAAGGTCACTGCTGGCTTCTGAATGGGGGAGTATAGCTTTTGGTGAGGGAAGAACTTGATTGGAGAAATGACAAGCTGACATGATAAGGCCCACCAGGAAAAAAGAAATCATCTTTTAAAGTTAAATATAGCACTACAGTCCGTATTACCCTCACACTTGGGAGGGGAAGTAAGGTAGTACTTTATCGTTTCCTCAGGAAAAAAGATAAGATGGAAGGACAGGAAGGTGGGGAGAGAAAATTCAGTTTGTTTTATAAGATAGTAAACATTGGCTCACTCTTCCAGGCATTTGGGAAAGGAGTTGACTTCCTTCCTCCCATGTATGCACACGTGGTCTTCCGGTTGGTTCAGTTTGGGCAAACTCTGGCTTATCACTGAGGCCTGTGCTCACTCTTGAGAGAGACCCCGTTAGCTCACAGTTTTTATTGCCATTTATTCTGGACATAGAAGACTTGTAGAAACCCTTTGATCTCTAAGAGAATGTGAAGTCTCAAAAAAAATGCAGCCAGTAGGGACTCTCACCTAGCCCGAGGGAGGCTAGGGAGGGCGAGTGATGCTCTAGATAGAGCCCTCGACGAGTTCATCATTGGATCTTCCTAGATGCCCAGACCTCAGCCCAGCTCTGTCCTCCAGGTCCTCCCTGCCTTCCACATTCCCTCTGCCTTTCACTGATCCCAGAAACAGGAAATCAAGGCATTCTTTGGCTCCAGAGACACCTGATAGAGCAGGTGCCCGCATATTTGAGCCCTTTTGCTGCCTTTAGGGAAACTTCTTTGCTGACACAATTAAAGGGCCCAGATGGCCAGTTAAAGTAGGGCTTCATAACCGTTTTTGTATCATGGATCCCTTTGGAAGTCTAGTGAAGTCTATGGACCTCTTCTCAGTATGAGGTTTTGAAATGAATAAAATAAAATTTATAGGATTGTGAAGGAAACCAATGATACTGAAATAGATTTATTCAAATTTTTTTAAATGTCATAGGACTGAGATTAAGAATCTCTGAGTTAAATATGGAAATGTTGTATGTGATTGCACATGTGTAACCTATATCAGATTGCTTACCATCTCAGGGAGAGGGGAGGGATAGAATTTGGAGCTCAAAACTTAAAAAAAAGAAGCTCAAATGTTAAAAATTGTTTTTGACATGTAATTGGGGAAAAAAATAAAATATTATTTAAAAAAGAAATTCATAGAAGACCAAAGTGTGAATATAAAATGGGAATGGCCCCTCCCCAGGAATTGCCCCAAAGAGTAGCCAATTCGGAATCAAAGCCTGACTTTATAATTCTTTAAAGTCATGGTTTTCTCCCTAACCTGTAATGATAATGAAATGTATACATGTTACTTTGCAGTTTTCAAAGCCTTTTGCAAATTTTAGTAATCCTGTGTGGTAGATAGTGCAAGTGTTACTATCCTTTTTTTGCAGGGGTAGAAACTGAGGACCAGAGATGTTAATTAGCAGAATTTAAACCTGGGTCTTCCTGACCTTCTGTCAGACTCCCATTCCACTGTACCTCCAACAGAGTTCTTACCTAAAAAAGCAATGCAGGGTTTTATCTTTTAGGTCTAGAAAGTTCACCTGCACACACAGCTAGATTGTAAGCTTCTTGAGAACAGGGCTCTACTTTGAGCTTTGTACCCCCAGCACCCATCACATGGCCTATCACACAGTATTTGTTGTTGTTGTTATCATTCAGTCCTGTCTGACTCTTCATGACCCCGTTTTAGGGTTTTCTTGGCAAAGATACTAGAGCGGTTTGCCATTTCCTTCTCAAGCTCATTTTACAGATGAGAAAACTGAGGCAAACAGGGTGCAGTGATTTGTCCAGGGTCACCCAGATAGTAAGTGTCTGAGGCTAGATTTGAACTCATGAAGATGAGTCTTCCTGATTCCAAGTCCACTGCTCTATCCACTGTGCCACTTAGCAGTGGCACTCAATAAATACTTAATAGAACCTCGATTGATGCTTTAGGGAAGTGAATGTTCATTTTTTAAAAAATTTCCTACCAGAAGTTTCAATGGACTCTTCTTAACAGCCATGAAATATGAGACAGTCATTACCAGGAGGGTCTGT